AGATGAAGATTTGAGGCAAATAGTGAAGTGACTTGCTTAGTGTCACACAGCTAGTAAGTGTCTGAGACCAGATTTGAACTCAGGAAGATGAGTCTTCCTGATTCTGGGCCTAGCACTCCGTCCACTTGTCCTCTAAGATACTTAACTGTTAAGAGTCTGAGTTTTCTCACTTATAAGAATGGGGATCATCATAGTTAATGCTACCAATCTCAATGTTGCTATGAGGAAAGCACTTTGCAAACCTCAAAGTGAGTTGTTATTGTTGTCAATAATGAATGTGGCATTCAGACCTAAATATAATATTACAGGTGGACCCTGACTATAGCAAAGTACAGCAGGATTGTCATTTTTCTTCTCGACACTGCTTATATAATTTCCCATCCAACTTCATTCCTTTGGACCAGACTCCATCATGCCACTAAGAACCTCATCCTCATCTCTCCCATATAAGCCACCCTCCATCACTCTATCAAGTAGATTTTCCTAAAGCATAGGTCTGACCATGTTACTTCCTCTCTCCTTCCCCCCCCCATTCAGTAAACTCCAGTGATTCCCTGTTAACTCCAAGATCAAATGAAAAATCCTTTGTTTGGCTTTTAAAGCCTTTTTATAGCCTGCCTCCTTCCTACCTTTTCAGTGTTATTGCAGCTTATTTCCCTCTACATGCTCTATGATTGAGTGGCACTGGCCACCTTACTGCTGCTTGCATAGGACACTTCCATTTTTCAGCTTGCACATTTTCACTGTCTGCTCCTCATTTCCATCTTCTGATTAATGTGGCTTTCTTCAGGTCTCAGCTAAAATCCCATCCTTCTGCAAGAAGAGTTTGGCGATTCTCCTTAATGCGAACCCTTCATGTCCCTTAGTGTCTTCCATCTTTGACTCTAGGAGACACTAAAACTTAGCATTATCCTGTACATATCTTGTTTGTTCCTAGTTCTTTGCATTCTGGCTCCCTTATTAGCCTGTGAGCTCCTTGAAAGCAGGAGCTGCTTTTCGTCTTCCTCTGATTCCCAATCCTTGGCACAGTACCTGCGCATAGGAGGCACTTAAGAAATGCTTGTTGGATTGGCTTGACTTGACTTTTGTGCTGACTTCCCATATAGAGCATGGATTCTTGCCTACCTTTTCTCTGAATTTTTTTGAGACAGGGTTGGGGTGGGGAGGTGGAGAGAGAGAGAGAGAGTGTAAGTGTATTTATATTTAAATTTTTAGAGAGAGGAGTATATTTAGCTTGCCTTTCTTTTTTGATCACAAAAATCTAAGATATTATACGTACTTTTCCCCAGGATTCCTATGATTTCTGCTTCAACAGATAGTTTCTCCTTGGTCAGAATTAGATATAAAATTGCAGCTCTTTTCATTTTTTTCTTCCACCTTTTTTTTTGGTTCGTTTTTTTGTGAGGCAATCAGGTTTAAGTGACTTGACCAAGGTCACCCAGGTAGCATGTGTTAAGTGTCTGAGGCTGGATTTGAACTCAGGTCTTCCTGACTCCAAGGCTGGAGCTTTATCCACTGTGCCACCTAGCTGCCCCTTTCTTCTACCCTTTGAAGAATGAAATCATTAAGGGATGTGAAAAAGTCCTTAGCTGTATTGTTTTTGGTGAAGAGAGAAATCCAACAGATGTTTGAATAATGGAAGTTACTTATCACGTAATATTTCTCAAGCCACTCATATATTTCCTCCTTCTGGCTCTCTAGTCTCTAGGTTATTCTTGTGACTACATTGCTCCTGTTTCTTCTGCCACTGGTCTTTATTGAAATGTTGGCCAGGATTCTTTCCCCATTAAGCTTAGCTTCTTAATTACTGGGGACTCCCAAATGAGGATTTACTTAGTGTGTTCTTGGGTTTTTACACTTTTTCTCAAGATATAACACTAGCTTATTTAACTGCTTTTGACTTATAATACATTTCTCTCAAAGCCCTGCTGCCAACAGAAACTGCCCTCCACTGTTTTCTGAAAGGTCCTAAGTAGAAACCTAACTTCATTCAATCTTGGCCTCTTTGACTTTTTTCCTCTCCCTACTAAACAGATTCCTGTGCATAGAATCACAAAATTTGTTTTGCCTCTTGCCATTAGGTTTCTGTCCCACTGGCCCTTGAGTGAGTTTCCAATAAGGAGCTTTCCTGCCTTTAGCTGAAAATAAACCAAGGCCTGGGGAAACTAAGTGACTTGCCCCAAGTTGCAGTGAAGAATAGAGCTGGGATGAGAGGTCTGATGGAGGAGTGCTCACTGATAGCTAGAGAGATAAGGGAGAAGGTTTTGTAGAGGAGGTGATATCCGAGATGGGCCTTGAAGGACAAAAGAGATTATTACAAATGGAGTTGGAGGGAAGTCCATTCTGAGCATGGGGGACAGACAGTGTTTGTAAAGGTGTGGAAGCCAAGATAAGATGGATTGTTGAGTAATCCAATTTATCTGTAATATAGAGTACATGAAAGGGATTAAAATAAAGTCATCCCTATTTTGTGGGCAATGGGGGATCAAAGCAGGTTTTTAAAAATGCAAAATATTTTGTAAAACTCAAAGCTCTGCACAAAAGGAAGTTAAAAGAACTCTAGACCTTCCTAATTTATGACTGTTATGTTGGATTCACATTTTCTTAGCAGCAAATTATTCATTTATTGAGGAAAAACTTCTTAGCCTGGCATCCAAGTCCCTCTACAATCTAGCACATATCTGTTCTTTTCAACCTTCCTACATTTCCCTTCACAAAGCCTATACTTTAGCCAAACTAGATTACTCACTTTACTCTGAACATACTCAGGGGCTTTCTTGCCTTCATGCATTTGATCTAAGGATGGTCTATAACTGAACTGTTCTTTCCCTGTCCCACTAATCTTGTCTGCTTGAAACCCTACTTATTTTTCAAAGGTCATCTCAGATGCCACCTTTTCCATAATGCCTTTCATGGTCCTTGGACAAGTTGTTTCACTACTCTGGATCTCAGTTTCCTGGATGATCTCTAAGGTCCTTTCCAGCTCTGTCTATGTTCCTGTGATCCTCAAGGCTAAAAGTAATCCCACACTCCTTTGGACTTTATACCTTTCTGATGGCACTATTTCTTCCCACCTTGTTTTATGGTTGTTTGTGTACATGTCTTGACACCTCCGACTAGAGAGTAAATTCCTTAATGCTAAGGATCCAGACCTTGTTGCATTTTCTTTGTGTACTATTTCTAGCCCCTCTATCCCTAATACAGTGCCTTATATATAGATGGCCCTTAGTTGAATTGAATTATAAAGGTTTGTTTCTTTTATGACTGAAAATATATTTGAATCCCTATGTATTTTATGAAAGTCGTGACCCAAATCACTTTAATTTGTTCTTTAAAAACACAAAGGTAAACTGCCATGGTTGGTATTTGGCCTTACAGTTTTATTTTTGTTTTTTGTTTTTTGCTAGACAATGGGGTTAAGTGACTTGCCCAGGGTCACACAGCTAGTAAGTGTGTTTGAGGCCCGATTTAAACTCAGGTCCTCCTGACTCCAGGGCCGAGGCTCTATCCACTGTGCCATGTAGCTGCCCTGCCTTACAGTTTTTCAGTCGAATGCAGTAGAAGGAAAGGAGCAGTATAATTTATGACCTTTTGTTCCTCAGGACACAAGTGAGCAGAAATAAAGAAGAGATAACTTGTACGTGTGACCTCTTCCCAACTCCTGTGACTTCCCTATCAGTTTGCTTTACCTAGTCTCCCATCTTGATATGGGCTGGGGTGTGTATGTGTGTGAAGCAATTGTTTGCTACTTGAGAACCCCAAGTACTTCAAGGAGGGCTAGATATAATGCAGGATTTCAGAAGAGCAAGAATATCCTAAAAATGCAGTGGCCTTTTTTTTTTAAAAGAAGAATTCATCTAAAATCCTAACAAGGTTTGAGGTTTAAGTCATTAGAACCTATGATGTTGTCAGCACCTGTGATTATGTTATGTGCACTATAAAGACACATAATAATTTATTAAGCTCTTAGGACAGCATATCTAGTATGAGAAATGGATTCTTAGGAAAAGAATTATTATTCAAGTTTGAGGGATATTATGTATTCCTTAATGCTTCAGTTTGTAAAATGAAAATATATTCTTGAAGTGCTGGTAAATCTGTATTCTTAGATGTTTCTTCCCTTTTGTATTAGATTATGACACATTGGGAGAGACCAAAATAATTTGATTATGAAGAAAAGGGATAAGTTATAGACTGTAATAGAGGGCTTGCCTGAATCCAAAACTACTTATCTAATGAAATATTTAGAAGTACTTAGTGCTTTTAAGGGAACATATTATTCTATGACCCAAGGGAAAGAAATTAAACTGGGTGTGGAGTGTTCACTTGTTTTTTAATTTTTCTTTGTCCTCGGGAAACTGTAAGCTTGTGGATGTGGTTTCTTAATTTTTTAAAATTTTATTTTAGCCTTCTTCAATTTACTCTAATGATAGATAATCACTTTAGTATCTTGGAATAAGTAGTTTTTAGCACATTACTCAATAAACCAATTAAACATCCACAGTTACTTTGTAAAGCCCCTTGCTGCTGGGAGCTAAGGTGCTTAAAATAGAACTTCAAAAATGTGTCTTTGTAGTCTTGCAAATAAGGTTGATAAATGCCTGCAAAGACAAATCTCAATATTTTATTATGTATGGATATCCTTTTGCTAAACAGTTGTAAGTAGAATTTTAAAAAGTTGTACAGGGCATATTGCCAGTTTTTGTAATGCAGTTTAAAGTTAGTATTTTTACTCTTGTAGTCAAATACAAGAAATTTTCAGCTAATGCATATCTCTTACGTATGACTCACCCATTTTGTAAATACAGCTTTGGCTAATGTTTGGGTTACATGATTTTTTTTTTTAGTTAACACAACCTACTTATATTACATTGAAACCAAAGATTTTGGGTAATTGAGTTAATGCAGGATAGTAGAGTAGGTAGCCATTCTGCATACAGCTAAATTTAGAATCTTAAAATCTAATGCAGCCTTGTATGTTGTGTCTATTTTGGCTACAGCCCTACCACTTATGTTTTGGAAGAAGATGAACCTCGTTTCCTTGAAGAAGTTGATTACAGTGCAGAAAGTAATGATGAGATAGACATTGAATTGCCTGAAAATGTTGGGGATTATGAACCTTCTGTCCAAGAAGATGCACTTTCTGACTCGGAGTCATCAAAAACATGCCTTCCTTGAGCCATCTGCCATCTCATGTAAATGGCTAAAGAATAAGAGAAATATCTTAGTTTCTATTGGATAGGAAACTTTAGATTTTTAAAAAGAGCTGACTCAAAAAGACAAAAAGTAACTGGAGCCAGTTTGGTTTCAAGACAATAAATGTGTTTTTGATTTATGATAAAAACTGGCATTTGTTTTATTTAAGGAATTCAATGCCCTGATTGATAGCATTGAATTATCAAAGATTGATTTATCTTTTTTCAACAGAATTTTACTCAGTATCATTGCATGACTTTTTGTTTCATCCTTATATCATACATCAAATGGATAAATTTGCAATGTTTCAGAGTAAAAAAAACTAATCCTAGGTCCCAGTGGTGATAAGTCGTTGAAAATAATATATATGTACAGGGATTTCTATTGCTCTGTGTGTTGTTTGTGTGGGAGTGGGTGGATATTGAAGACAAGAAATTAAATTCTTCAGAATGATGTTAACTCTTTGTGTTTGAAGTAATCGAGAACTTACTTTGAAACCATTTCATTCTATAGTTACCAAATTAAACAAATCAAAAATTAATTTATCAGATGTTGCTTTTGTTTCTTCATCCCTTAATACACTCAGATTATATGGTGATACATCCTTGATTCAAAGTATTCAAAGAAACCCACATGTGAACACACATTTGTAAAACTTTATGTGCACAAGATGGTTTGATTACTTCAGTAGACTGAAGCTCTTTGTGGTTGTAGTGCACCTGTGCCTGCCATGAATTATGTATTTGTATGGCTCTCTTCCCTGAACAAATATCTCCTGAGATATAACTGGAGCTGATTTCTGCAGTCATGATAGTTTGTTAATATGAAGCTTTAAAAAAGTACACATTTACCCAGTGAGGGTATTGCTACTCAGCTGTCATTAAATGTGCATATATATATATGATTATATATTTATTTATACCTTTCTGTATTTAATATTGCATGGGCTGTGCTACAGTATTATAATTCTATTGGAGTGAATTTATTCAGGGCATGCTTACAAGTTATATCAGAATCAAATGTATCTGGGGAGTAGAGGAGGGAAGCATTTAGGTCATTTCTTATTGTGATATCTTCCTAAGTATTAGCCTAAAGTTTTAGGCTTTAGAAATGACTATAACATTTTAGAATACTGATTTTTGAAAAGCATCTAATGATGCTGTTGGTCCTTTGTGAGTTAAGCTTTTGTTATAACAAATATTACAGCTACTTGATAGGTCCTCAAGAGGACTTTGGTGCCTCCCTTTTGGCATACATCTTCTTAAGCCATTTTTGGATAGTAAAAGAGTCATTTTCATCAGGAACCCTAAAATACTCAAGTTCATCTCTGGAGGTTTTTCAATAAATGCCTAAAGGCAAAGCATTTCCCCCCCCCCCAGCTTGTAGTAATGAAAAAGAAACTACCAGTATTTCAAGTATTTTTCATTCCCCAATTTAATAATTACATTTTTATGTATAGTAACTTAGGCATTTCATTCATTATGATATTTTTTAGGTTTCATAGGGAGATGGTATTAGACAATTTACAAAAATACAGGTTTATCCTTCCTTTATATGTACAGTGCTAGTTAGCTGTGCTGAAAAGTCTCAGCAGAGTGAAGGCTGAGCAGACTGGGAGCTGCTACCTTGTTCTTAGTGATGATACAACTAAATGAGTATTAAAGCACTTTATCTGAGTGAAGAGAAGCTACTGATGCTAAAATTATATTTATTTCCAGAATATAATTTCAGGAAGAGAAAAATATAGGTTTACTTTTTCCATAGTCTATAACTTTGATGGCTTAGAAACTGAAAGGTCATGAGTGAAAAGCAGCTATGTTTAATATGCTACGTAGAAGGATTCAAAAGATTTAACCTGTTTTTATATTGGCATTGTTAAAACTCCATAGAGAGATGGATGGTAGCAATATTTTCAATTCATTAAATAGTGTTATTGAGACACTTAAACATCTGTTACTATCTATTCCAATTTTTGACATGTTTATTGTTCAAGAAATTAGAAAAGAGTATATTTAGCAAATAAATTATTTTTAAGCAATTAGCTTTAGAAGAACAAAGTAACTCCATAGGTCTACTTCTCCATTCAAGAATCTGATAAATCTGCTTGCTTATTAGTCATTAAAACTTCTACTCTTTTCTTACCTCTGACTGAGGAATTTCAGCATTTTCAAAGAACAGGTGCTATTGCATCCAGTGCCATCATCATTGTAATGAATAATTTTTTACTCATCCTTAATTTGCATTCTTATGTTTACTGAAATAACTAGATCTGACAAGGTGAGTTAGTAATGAAGCTTGGATTAATTTGGAAATCTTTCTTTAGGAACTTTAATTCCTTAAGTATAGTTTAGTTTTAATCCGATGTCTCTTTTTTATAGTTACAGTCACAGGTTCTAAAGACTCATAGTATCTTCAAGCTGGAAGGGACCTTAAAACTCATTCAATCCAACCCCTCATTTTACAGATAAAGAAAGTGAGGCTTCTAGTCTGCTAGAAGCAGGCTAGACTACTACTAGTCTACTCTTCCTCCACAGTACCATAGAAGAGGCTGTCTAAGCTCTGACCTTCCCCAAAGAACAAATACATGTTAGAAAACTTGGGGATTTGATTTGGTTTGAGACATTTATCCATCTGGAATTTGGATGATTTGTAGTGGTAGATAATTCATTATTAGATTTTCCCACCCACTAGGATATAGAAGTCTACAGCACACACTTTTCATTCTTGTCAGTAACATCCTTTGTTTGAATACAAGATTCTGCCTTATGTTAAGTGTCTTTCTTGAACAGTCTTTGCCACTTGTGCCAACTTTTACGTGTTGTTTACAGATGTGAAATTTTGTGTAAATCCTAAGTAATCCATAAGTAACCCAGTATTCATTCAAATAGAGGTGCAGCCGTGGTGCACACTAAATTCAGTTAGCCCACATTTAAGATGACTATATGTTGTAAGTCCTGTAGTAGATATAATTGTGGCAATTTACTGTGCATGCCCCAGGAATAAATTAAGTAACAATATGCAACTGTATAATAAAGGTCTCATTATCAATTACTATGTTTTCCCACACCTTTCATTGTATAGAAAATAAAAATTTAGTAACTTTGTGCTTTTTTTTTCTTTTGGAGAAAGTTTAGAAATCATATACAAACTATTAGCTACTTCTATTAGGAAAACATTTTGAGGTAATATTTTCTTAGTATTTATGGCATACTTAGCTATTGGTTATGAGTATCTGTGGAAAATGAAAAAAAAACCTGATTGTTATGAAAGTTGGATTCAGATTTCTGGAAGGTAAAGAGAAAATGTAAAGGAAAGCCTCATCTCTTCTATGAAATCTAATTATTTGGAAAATTAAGACCCCAAAATATCAGAGGGTTTTCTTTTTGTTTGTTTATGTTTTTCGGTATTCTAGATAGCTGTGCTGGGGTTTGCCCTAGGTACAACATGTGTTCAAAATATGTTATTACCTTTCTGTACCCTTATCTCCCAGGTATACAGTCCAATACCCTCATGCGACCCCAACCCTATCCAGTGAGCCACACAAATTTTTTCTCCTTAGGCTCATATTTCAGATGTTTCTTCATTCATTTCACCCTCTTCCCTGACCTCAACCTTGTCTCTCCTCTCCATGCATAAACCTTTAGTCAAGGGTGTGCTTCGGGGTTGAATTCTTCTGACAAACTAATTTGTGATGAGTAATTAATGGTTTAATGTGATCGCTCTCTCAAGGGTTTTTGCATATTAGAGGGAGCATCCTAGAACTATAATGTCCCTATCTAAATGAATGAATCTCCAGTGGTAGAATTTTAGGCACAACATCAGGCTAACTGTGGTGAACTTTTGCGGCTCAATAACTCCTGGAATCACCCTTAAAATCTTAACTATCTATCTATCTATCTATCTATCTATCTATCTATCTATCTATCTATATGTAATTATATATATATACATATACATAAACTGTATGTGTGTGTGTATGTATACATATACATATACACACACACACATATATTATTATTCCCATTTTAAAGATGAGACGATGGAGGTTCATAAAGTTAGATGATTGTTAATTCACATGGCTAGTAATTATCTGAAGCTGGGTTTGAATCCAGGTCTTTCTGACTCAGATTCCAGTGCTGTTGGTTATACTATGATGCCTCTCAGGGAAAGGACCATTATTTAGGATAGATGGAAAACTATTATCAAAGAGAAACTAAAATGATAGAGAGAAAGCTGACCTGCTCAATTCCTAATTTTTCCTTTTTTTTTTTTGTTGGTCAAGAATGATTTTCAGACTAAAAAGGACAGCTAACATTTCAGTGTGAGTGGTCACCTATTTGGCAAATATATATAGGGATCTCTTGAATACATAGATATGAAAATAGTTGAGCCTTGGAACCCATGACTATCAATTTAAATCACATATATAGGTAACACTTCTGGTTCTAGTTACTTCTTTCAGGAAGTGGAAGTAATATTAGAACAAAGATGTGTTTCTTATTTATGGTCTAAGAGAGTCATTTGCTATGACATACTTCATCATATTTTATTCAATCTAATTGAACCCAAGAACATTGTAGAGCTTTCTGAATGAGATTTGTAATTATTTAAGAGCTTGGCCTAACCTTCTACACAGAAAAACCAAGGAGATGAAGAATATTCATCGCCCTTGGGTGAAAACCAGAAGAGCTTGCCAGTCAGTAGACAAGTCTTAGAGAGAAAATCCAAATGTACAGTGATCTGGGACCAGAACTGAACAAGAAGGAGAGAGTTGGCCGGATTGCCTTTGGAAAATTACGAAGTTCTCTTAATGAAAGATAGCAATGTTTTAAAAATATTAATATTAAAAGAAGTATCTCTTTAACAGTATATTCTGATAGCAAAAGATGGACTGGGGAATAGGCTATAAGGGAATAGAGATCCTTTTGTTAGAATACATTGAGTAGACAAATTATGCAAGAAAAAATAATCATAGTTACACATCTTTACGACAGTGG